AAATGAAAATGTCCCTAAACAGTTCAAAATAAATCAAAATATTTTGAAAATGTTATCGTGTATAGAAAATGCAAATATTAACAACCAGTGAAAATTTCATGTATATACGTTCATTTGTTTTAGAGTTACACCAATAACCAAAATCGATTTTTTGGAAAACCAATTTTGCGTAAAAATTCCCGTTTTTCCTTAATTTTTATGTTGTTTTTCCCGGCGCTTGTGAAAACTACTGGAAAATGTTTACTTTTGACCCCCCCAAAGTACCAACTAGATTCACTTTCCTATCAGAAAAGGTACTATTGAAGAAAATCGAAGCACTTTTACTGTCCTAAAACGTGATGACAGACACAAAAATATAAAAATATAAAAAAAAACATACATCATTGTAAAACCAATACATTCATCGCTCCGCTCAGAATCTAAAATATAAAAAAAAACACACATCATTGTAAAACCAATACATTCATCGCTCCGCTCAGAATCTAAAAATATTTAGGTTTTAATGGTAATATATATTTTTCAATGACAAGTGACAAAAAAATTTACTATCCCACTAGTGATGAATATTACATAAATATTGAACAGGAATGTGAGTTTAAAGTAGAAAAAGATTCACATAATATACCTATTTATATTCTATTAATGAAATTCAAAATTTATTAAATCCAGACAAGAACGTTGTTAATACTAAAATTACAGTGGTTAATAAATATTTAGTGATTTCAACTACCGATGAGTATGATTTTGACTCTTATTTAACTAATTGTTTAGGAATTCCATTGTTTAATTCTTCTTCACGTTATCACACTGAACAACCATTTAAACGAACTGTAAATGGTACACTAATGCCAACATTTTACACTCAAGGTTTCTTAAAAGAAATAAATGGTGTTATTGAAACAGTAAATAGCAAAACTATAATAGGAAAGAAAAATTAAACTATTGATCAATTAAATAAAATACTACCATCAAATATAAAAATACAACAAACAGACAAACAAATTACAATAGTATCTAGTATTTATTTTTTAATTTAAAAAGTAAGTTAGTTGCCAATTACATCAAAATATTACATATTAAATATGTATGTTTAGCAAGTAATTTGTTTACTAGAAATGACAGGTGAAAATAGAGGAAGAAAACCTAAAACTGAATTCATCAGCATTATCGAAAATGAAATTATTAAGTTTAAGCATGAAATTGTCCAGGATGGAAATAGTAAGATATTATACATTATTTTCTATAACATCACTCCATTAAAAGTTATTACTTTTCTACATCACAATTTGATCCTGTTTTCTCAATTTGTGTACTAGAAAAATACCATATTGGTAGTACGTACCAGTAGTACCTAAATAATTGATTTGGGTTGAGGGCATTCAGGCTATTCTATTTTTTGTATTCAACCTATAAATTATATTTAAGCATTGAGCATATTTTGCTGAGTTTGAGGAAATATTATGGTTCATTAGCATTAGTAACCAAATTTTATGTAATTACTTATCAGGTAGGTAGGTAGCTTCCTACCTAAAACTTATTTGTTATAGTGGAAGTCAAAAATGGTTTTGTCAATTGGGGTGATTTGGCTGATTTCTTAAAATTTCTACAAAATATTTTCATCGTTAACCATATAATTTGTGGTTATAATATCTTTAATACTTTAAATGCTCACAAAAATAATAGAATTGTGCCTGCCTATGCATCTTGAATATGTTTCAACTTTTATTATGACAACTTATAAGGAACCTCATATTAAATGAATATGAGTAATGAGTATTGTATTATCATTTTTCATATAAATAAAAACACTTTATGATAATTCAAATATTTAAAATGGCAATATATAGCTTTAAATTAGTAAATTTGTTTTGAAAATTACATCATTAATAAAAGATTCTTATCCAAAACTATTTTTATAAATATGATTTTTCATTTTAAGGAAGACAAATTTTCTATTACCTACAACATCATTGTTCTGCCTAAATGTTTCACATAGGTACGTTAAATATAAAATTCAATGAAATATTTAACTGTAAATAACTTCTGTTTGTGTCTTTTCAAGTCTGATCACTTTTCTTGATTTAAAAGAGTGGATATGGTCTATAATTGAATAATTGGTAATTATTCTACAGACTGGTAGTAAAGTAGGTAGGTAATTCTTGCTCCATCTATTTTTTTATAGGACTTAAATAAGTGTTTTTGAATGTCTTTCAAATTATATTCAAACAATTAATAGAAATTTTTTTGATTGATTAGAAAGCAATTAAATGAACTCAAATTTATCACATTTGACATTAAGTAGGTATAAAGTAATTTATCTTCTCTGTTGGTTTTACGACCATCCTTTCTATGTACCTACATTTTTAATATATAGACATCATATCCAGTAAAAATTGATGTTCAGTTTTATCAGGTATACGTATCAGCTAGAATTGTGGAAATGTGACATACTGTTAAAGGTTTTTCCTTGTGGATACAATTCAATATTCAAGTTTTTTCAATTTAACTCTCCATATTTTTTCTTATTTGTCTTTAGTGAATTTTTTTTATTTTCTGTTCACCACCAAGTGTTTATTTCTTCAATATACTCAAGGTCTAAGTATTAGTTCATTACAACTATTAGTTTCAAGATTATCTTCTTGATTCTTCCAAAATCACAAACTCCATAGGTACCATCAAAATTTAATAAGTTATCCAGCTTATCCCAATAAATATATTTTATCAAAATATATTCATATAATAAATAATAATAAAAGTTTATTACAGGTTATAATAATAATTAATTAATAAAACCAACATAGTTGTTATGTCATACCAGGGTTCAAAATATTAAAGCAAAACAAAATGCGTATTATTAACTTATGTAGAAATACTGTAATATTATAATCTATCAAATTTTTAATTTACAGTTTTTTGAAAAACAATAATTTGTATCTTCTGTTGAAAAATTAGGTGATTTAAATTTCAAGTTAATTTCATTATCTTAAGACAAATAATATCTTAGTTCAGTTTTCTACTTGTCAGTTACCTATCCGCAGTCTTGTAAAATATACTTTTGATAAATTATTAAAACATTAATACTAGTATTCGAATAAAATACTATTATAAAAATGTTTTTTATGAATACTCACTAAGTATTTGAATATAAAAACAAGTATTTTTTTTTCAATTTTATGCTATATAACGTACATGTTATATATTTATTTTATATCAGTAATCAGTATAAGTACCTATATTATGTTACTACTTACCATAGATTTTAACAATTTGAAAAAAAATAATAATACGTCAAACTATTTAGAAGTAAATATATGTTTAGATATTGCATTCATATTGATACAATTAAATTACAAAAAGTAAAAAATAAAAAGTCGTATTAACTATTAATATGAAATTATTTAAAAAAATTCAAATACAAAATCCATATAAAATTGGTTTAAACTTTATACCTTTAAATTACCTACTTTTTCTATACAAAATGTTTTCTGTTTTTATAAATTTAATCTCATTAATATATTGTTTTATTTTTATATAATTATATAGCCTTGAAAATAAGATAAAAATTTATCTTTAGTGCTCCCATACTCATGATATTAATAAATATGAAATTACATTTTTGGAGTTAAGACTTACAGATTAAGCCAATTTCATATTTCAATTTTCAATGAATACAATATTATTTTTATACATGTCAAATTGTTGTAAAAAATAATTAATAAATCTAACTTTGTGGTATTTAAGTACAAGCATTTATATTATGTCAAAAATACTTTTAAAAAATATTCAAAATATTCAGACTGCCTATCGATTAGTATTTATTACTATTTTCAAGTTTTCAACTATGAAATACAAAAGTTGTGACATTAAATATCTGCAGTTCAGTAGACTGTATATAGTATATTGAATCACTTCATTGTTCTAAAATACTATTTGAAAAATACATTTTCAATAAACGTTTCAAAATATAAAAAGAATATTCAATTAATGTAACTCATTTAATTGTTCTAATAAATTATTGTCGATAAGCAATATTTCTCTTAGTCAAAAACCTTGCAAATTGAATACAATTTTTTCCATAAATAGTTTATATTTCTTCTTTACACTTAGTCATTTGTAGTTCAAATTTTGACAAAAAAAAATATTTAAACAAAAAATAATGATGTTAGATTTTGTTATAACCTTTATTGTATTCCATATTTTAGAAGTATTTTTATTATTAAAAGCATACTAATTTTTTTATTCAAATTTTAATTTGTAATTATTTTTGTAATTATTTTTAATGATTAAATTAGAAATAGTAGGTATTCAAGCTGATGTCTGGAGAAAAATTGCATTTAATATAACTGAAAAATGTAATGAAGAAGTAACGCCAGCATCTTTGAGGGTTCGTGTTGCCCTAGACCGTGGTGGTATAAAACAAAAGTTAGGAATAGAGTCAATTGAGTCAAATAAAGTTGAAGAACCTTACCAAAAAAATGGTATATACAATTAAATAAAAATAATCGAGTAGATTATATAACATTAAAATTGTTTTATATTTTTATTCATTTAAAAACAATATATTATTCTTTTTTAAAATTGTCAGAATCTTCATATAGCACATCTGAGGAAGAGGTAGAAGAAAATCATGGTGATGAGCTATTATTTGCAATTACATTTTCGATTAAGGAATGGGAAGCGATTCGTCCGACAAATAAAGTCTACAATTGTAAGCGAGGTCCTAAGACCTATCAAGTTATGTCTCCTTTCGAGTGGAGTAATGTGATCCAAGAACACTTTTTTTTGCACAATAAACTACCTTGTTGTCTTGTATTTAAGCTTAAATCAGCTTAAATGGTAAATTTTTTTTAACAATACGAGGACGTTGTTCTGACTGTGGATCAATTTTTGATGGTGTTGTTAAAGATATTCCTAATACGGAATCTAGGTAAGAAGAAAATAATTAATTTTAAAATGTTTTGTGACGTATTCTTAATTTTTAAATTGTTAACAGAGTCATAATGGAATGCAATTATTCAGGAAATTATAAAATTTCACATTCAAAGAAACGTAAATTATTTGGAAGTGAAAAAATTCGAGCATTAACTACGATGCTAAATGAAAACATTAATCCTTCAGTGTTTAACCGTATTGAAGCAAGTCGTTTAATGTCTGAAGGTGAGATGCATTAAAAAAAATTGTATTTTTTATATACTTAACTATTTAATAAAAATAACTTTAAAAAAATAATATTTTATAAATTATAAATAATACAAATAATAATAAACAATATTAAATAAAACCTAAAAAATCAGAAAGTTACTATTATGCATTAAAACAATTATCCTTTGCTTGACAATTAGTTATCAGAGTTACCAATTTTTCAACGCCTAATAAAACTATTATTTTTTCATCCCTAAATTAAAAAAGATTCCAATCTTAATAATTAAACCATTTAAATTTTATAAATAAGTTTATTTTGAATATATGAACTAATAGTTCATATATATATATATTAAGTCCTAATATCTATAATATAATAATTTTAAAACTTTTATTCATTTTAGGTGATAAAGCCCCTGCACAAATTCCAAGCTTGATAAGTCTTAGAACAGCAAAAAGCAGAGCAATTTCCTTAACAAGGCTTCATCAAGACCCAGTAATTGCAATAAATATTATGAAATACAATTCAACATTTTGTTCTATTATTCGTCATATTGGTTACGATGGTTTTTTTGTTCATTTTTGGAGCAACTTACAACTTCGAATTTACAAAGATTGTTACTCAAAATGTAAAATTCCTTCAATATCATTTGACGCTACAGGAGGATGCTGTAGAAAAATAAAAAGACCGGACAACACTATGAGTAGTAACCTATTTCTGTATGAAGGTGTTATGAAAGTAGATGGAAAAACATTCACAGTTTGTTCAATGATCTCCGAAAAACATGATACATTAAGTATATGTACTTGGTTAAAACGATGGTTGAAGTGTGGTGTCAAATCTCCTAAAATGGCTATATCTGACCAATCTTTGGCCCTTATGTCTGCAATTGTACAATCCTTTACGCAGTACAATTCCCTTGAAGAGTACTTAAGAATATGTTTCAAATTAATCATGAATACTCAAGTTAACGAAAAAGATATACCTTTATGTTTTGTAAGAAATGATATCAACCATTTTGTAAAATTAATATCACAATGGACTCCACTTAAAAAATCTAAGTTCCCTAGAACTGACAATTGTTTATTCGTTCTATGACACTATTAATATATTGTTCTTCAATGGAAGAAGCCAAACAAATTTTAGAAGCTATTTTCAAAGTAGCACTAAGTAAATATGATGGTCTTTGTTTAGGAGCAACAAATAATAATATTACAGAAGAAACTCCTTGCGCTAAAAGTAAAAAGTATTTACAATCACTTATTTCAAACAAATCATCGTATTTTCAAACTTTTGATAATTATATAGAAAATACAATATCTAATGAAGAATCAAATTCTGTAAATGAAAGTATATGTGCACATATCGATAGCGCTTTTATGAATTGGGCTTCTATAATTGCAAATCGTTCTAAAATAGATGTTGAACAACTGGAAGGAGAATATGACAACGCCCAGTATGTACCAGAAATTGTTCCGTTGGTACTTAATGCGATGAAATTATATCCATGTTGGTCGGGAATTATGACGAAGACTTTCAAATATGGAGATGCCTCAGTTTCAAGTTGTCGGGTGGAAAGTAATTTCAATAATATAAAGAATATAGTTTTCAACGGAGACAACTTACCAATGAGAGTTGACAATTTTTTAGAAAAGTTAGTCTCTTATTACAATGGGGATTATTTGTTACTTCAAAGTTCAGATTCAATTGTTACAACAAACTCTAATATTGATGAAAATTTAGGATCAAACATTGATACAAATAACTATAATTCACAAACGGTTTTTTCAAATAAAAGTATAATCAATGAACACCATTTGAATGACCAAGAATTTGAAACAGATTGTACAGATGAAGGATTTTATATTGCCGGCACTATTAACAATTCAAATCAAAAGTTGTATAACAAAAATGTTGTACAAATTGAAGAAGATCAAGATATGGAATGTACTGAAAAAAGAAAAACTTCAACTGGGACTATATTAAATAATGAATTTAATACCAACATATGTCTGCCATGTAAAAATGGAGATTTCCCAACAGGTATACATAGGTGTGCTTTTTGTAATAGATCTGTACACTTATTTGGTTGTTCAATTAATCTTGTAGATAGCGAAGAAGGCTACGGAGAATCACGAATATGTTTGTTATGTTTTAACCAGTCAGGAGAAAATAACGCTGAAGAACAATGGCAAAAAAAAAATATATCTAATCGGCCCCCAATTAGATCAGCTAACTCATATCTTACTTGGCTCCATAAAGGCAATAATATTTTTGAAAAATGGAAATACTTTTCAAAATAAACTTTGCACCTTACCAGGAATTACCTTACCTAGTAATTGCACCTTACCTAGTAATTCTCAATAATAGTTGTTCACCAGATTCGTTGATGTCTATTTTAGCCTGTGCTGCAGCAGACAGTAAGGTTTATTATGATTATTTATCAAGCATATCAAAAAAAGATAAAACTGCCAAATTTATTATTAGCATGCTAAATACAAAAACAAGGAAAGTTATGCACAAAGAACGAATAATATTATTAGCTCCTTATTTTTTATCTAAGGACAAACATCTTATTGGTGGTATCAGTACAATTGATGCAATGGATACATTATCTTCTACAGCACATAAAATGTTAAGGTATTCGTTTAGTATGTGACCTACAGAGTGAAAATCGAGTTTAGTATGTGACCTACCAAGACGATTATCTATATTATGTACGGGTACTGATCTATTAACAGGTAGGTAAGATGAATTTTTGAAATTTAAGTAAAATACAAAAAGTGTATTTCTAAAAATATAATTTAAATAAAATAAAACTTTTTTATAACAACATAATTTTATGAAATCTATTGAATAGTTTTGACATACCTATTGCTGTTATAGGTACCTATGTGTCTTCATTAATTTTGTCTAACTCATTTTGACATTGTTAAATGTAATCCTGTATTATTTTATATTTGTATATTGTATTACTAATATATTAGTTAAATAATTATTAACATAATTTTATGATTTTTAATTTAACTGTTTTTAAATTAATTAATGGTCCTGTGGATCATATACTAAATGAATACCCAATACGGTAGGTCACATACTAAACGAATACCAATGTTAAAAAATATGCCATCTTACAAGAAAATAAATCAATGTACAAATTTCACGTGTGAAGATTTTTCCAGTGAACAGAGTTATGAAGTCGTAACATTAACAGCGATTGATGGAAAAATAAATATACAAAAATAAGTAGATATTTTTTTTAAAAATGAAACCACCATATGTTCCTACTGTGACTCTAAAAGAAACATTACAGTAAATGTTAAAAAAAATGTTTTGATTGAGCTGGTTTCTATTCCTAAAGGTAATTTTTTTTTTAATTGTACCTCAAAATCTAATGTTATACATAACCATTAAACTATTTTTTTGTATAGAACTTGAAGCATCAACAAGTGCTCTTGATATTGATATTATAAATGACATACAACAAAATTATGCTGGAGAAACATTGTTGACATTGGATGAGATACCAAAAACATTAAATGTGAATGGCCATACTTATTATATCCGAGGAACCATTGTCTTTAATAGTGGCTTACGTACAGGACTCAGAGTTACAAGTGGTCACTATAAGGCATTTGCATATAGGAAAAATAACTATTGGGAAGTTTATGATGACCTAAAAGATGGCATCACTCAGCCAAAAGCAATAAAAAATAATGTCGAGGTCATAATATATACAATTTAATAATGTCAATGACACAATTTTTATATTTGAAACTACCTACCATTTACAAAAGCAATTTTTAATATTTATTTTTTAAATGTGTAAAATATATTTTATAATATTAGTTATTATTATCTAAATTTTGTAAATTAAGGGTTATTCTTGTAATGTCTAGTTAGATCTCTGATAACGCTAACTGGCAGAATATTGGTTATCGAAGTAAAAACTTTTACTTATAGATACCATGCAAATGATGAAAAGCTGTGCGGTATCATGGAGAATTCAATAAGTTATGTAATTATAAGATCTTGATGGTCCCACCTCCTAGAATATGTTTAATCATTGTGAATGTTTAATTCATAGATCAAAAGACATTTTATATTAATTAGGTACCTATATATTATGAAACAAAGAATCAACCTGATATTGTGTTAAATGTAGTTTTAGGGTCCTTAACTTTGAGAAAATATTTACAAATACCTAACTAACATCTGTGGAACAGTTACACAGCTGCCTTCAAAAATTTATAAAAGATCTATCAGAAGATAGTGACACAATAGCATTTTGTGAATATTTTCAACGAATTTATGCCAACCGACCAGAAAATTGGGCTTACTTCGTTTAAGACTTGGAATCAATACTAATATGTATTTGAAGTCATTCCACAAAATCCTTAAGCACATATATTTAGAGGGGAAAAAAGTAAGACGCCTCGATAAATCTATAAATGCTCTAATGAAATTAACTCGAGACAGTTACTTTAAACGGCTAACTAAAGTATCAAAAAATGCTAAACAGAAAAAGTAAAAAAAATACAATTAAGTCACAAATCGAGCCATGAAATAAAAGTAGAACAAATTCATATTCTTGATAAAAACACATGGATAATATCGTCATTAACCGATCCATACCAGCAGTATCATATTATTAAGTGTGAGGAAATTTGCAATAAGCCATGTCTAAGATGGGAATTAAAAAAACCATCAATATATGAATCAAATGCCATTAAATTAGGATTTGAAAACAACAATAGTGAATTTGTTAATGTACATAGTGGATTCGACCATTATTTTTAGTAATAATATGAGTACAAACATAATTACTAAAAAAAATATTTGTACACATAATATGTTATCTATTATTATTATTTCGTTATTATTTTTAAAAAAGGCTTTAGTTATAAGGTTCACTGAAAAGTCACTGAGAGGTGACTGATACTGTTATAAGTACTGAATAAGTACCTATTTCAAAACATTTATTTTATTTTTTAGAAAGATTAACTTCTTTATTTTCTGTATGTTATAAATTAAAAGTATTACATAATTATATGTTGCCAGAATTTTTACTACAAAAAGACTGCAGTAATAAAATATTTGTTAACAAGTTCCTAATATTATTATTTTAAAATAAAGAAATTGTTTGGTTCACACTGGTTCATATCATCTGATTATGTGTTCGTATATAATGTAAAAAAAATGAATCTGCGTAAATGCGTTTTGTCTATGTTATGCATAGATTAAAGAGAGAAAACAAACAGTGCAATGACATCCTCTTAAAGTAGGTTAACTCCGAGACAGTGACCCTTTTGATTTATTCAATGTTTTTACGGCTGATATACCTATAAAAAACAACATCTTTAAGGTCACTTATTCAGACACCATCACAATAACTAGGTATTGAAAAAAAGATTTGTAATAGCTCACTAACACGCACAGAATTAGTAGGTAAGTACCTTTGTGGCATAGTCAATGTTAAAATCCCGGGTAATGTTCTTTAAATCTTGTCGGTTCAAAAGCAGAGTTCTTTGAATAGAGTCAGTAGACGCAGTATCACGAAGCGAGTCCAGTATATGATCAAAGCTAACTCCTTCCTTCAACTTTGCTAAACAAATAAAAATACATCAAAAAATCAGTTTCACAAAGTAATAAAAAAAAACACTTCAATTACAAGTTTTGACAATAGAGTAATAAATCAATAATTAAATTAAAACATGAAAACATTTTATTTTAAATTTATGACAACCGGTTAAATATAAGTAAGTTTAAATTATATTTGTTCTAAACTACAAAGTTTAGTAGGTAAGTACCTGCAATTTGAATTCTTGATTCTGTGTCAAGTTTAACACGACCAAGTTCTTCGACCCCATGTCCACAATGAGTTTTCCAATACTTGACACTTACGGTGGCGAGCGGAGCCGGCAGGCGTAAGGAGCTTCAATAGACTTATGTTACTCTAACTGGCGACCGGAGCCGATAGGCGACGGGAGCGAGGTCCCTTGAGTTTGAAGACCAGAGCCACCACATACTTGTGATACTTCAACTAACAAGGTTAAAATTACTTGTTAGGTCATCCGTCTGCCCGAAGGTCAGGTATGCTCTCCCCCCCAGCGACTCAGAAGGGGTCGCCACCCCTCTCCCTCCCCCCAGGTTTGCTATTTAAGTCCCGGGGGGTTTGGGGGCCGAGCCCCCATCCAGCGAGAGGTCCGCAGGACCTCGAGTAAGGCGACTGGAGCCGGCAGGAGTAGGGAGCTTCAATAGACTTATGTTACTCTAACTGGCGACCGGAGCCGATAGGCGAAGGGAGGCACTATATACTTATGTAAACAGGTCAAGGAATGAAAACACAAATTAACTATGCATAGCCGCATAGGTAAAGTATGCAGTTATTGGCACCTTAAAAATTCGTTTTTGGTAGTTATTGGCACCTAAACTGCTCCATTACAAAATCGAATAGCAAATTATCAAATAAATAATATGATAACATCAAGATTGATAATAAAATAGTATCAATATGACCATATAATCGAAAAAAAATATCTCTAAAATTCATAATCAAACATTTTATATACGAAAAACAAAAATACTTGGTGCCAATAACTACACCCCTGCCAATAACACCATGCTTTACCCTTAAAGACTCGTAACTTTTATTATCAAAATATCGACGTCCTCCGTATAAACGTAAAATCGCAAACTTTGGAAGGCTGTAACTTCCAAAATAATCATTTCCGCAAACTAATTTTTACACCATCGTTTTAAACTCGTCGAAATACATAGGTTTCCGAAAAAAAAAAAAATCGAAAAATTCGAGTGGGCGCTAAACTAGAATTGTTCCATTATAATTTTAAATATAATATAATATAATATTTTAATCCCGCACTGATAACAATATGATGATAACACGATAAAAAGATGCTGGCGCGAACGGCTCGTAGAAACACGGTTTAAGATAGTCTATGTTGTACACTTGTACCATCTCCGATTTGATTGGCCGAATTTTCCCGGTTATAAAATCTGTTATCAGCTGGTTGAGCGAAATCGAAGTGTTTAAACTTTTAATGACTGCACAAGTGCACAACTATTTACTGTAATTCTTGAAATTACTCGAAATATACACTTTTTGTAGATCCTTGTATTATTTACAGCAGTAGAGTTTTTCTACTTAATCCAGATTACAGACTCCAGAGCACACTGAGCACATTTCCGGTTCTTTCTATTATTTCATCCTGATAGTTACATATTATTATATTATTGTGTCTATAACGGAATTATCTACACACTGTAAGTACTGACAACTATTAATTGTAATTCGTATTGCCCTAATACGTTGTAATATTATGAACGTTTTTGGCTAATATGCACTTTACCACGCCCCTCACGAATTTCGAAATTTCATTTTTTAAAAGACGTGTTTTTCAACGCTGATTTCGAAACTGTTTGAATTTTTGTGCGGAAACCATTATTTTGGAAGTTATAGCCTTCCAAAGTTTGCGATTTTACGTTTATACTCATGCGTGCAACACTACTTTAATGCAGCGCGGAGGTACTCGAGTTTGGAGAATGGAGCCACTATAGGTACACTTGTCATACTTCAACTGGCTCCTGGAGGCATATTAGCATTCTGTGGATGGTCTCGGCACCTGTGCCCGTTACCCGACTAGTAATTACCCTGTGACCTACTCAAGGTGGTGTTGCACAGCAAGTCGAGGGATATTTTCAATTTGCGGAGCGGAAGAGCGCAGCGACGAGTCCCTCAAACTGTGTAATCACTGCCCATATACTATGATGCCCATACAGGCGAAGGGAGCCACTATAACAAGTGTATACTTTAACTGGCCATCAAGCCTGGTGCCCTGGTGGTACAATGAGTTTAAAGACATGAGTCATTTGTGTTACTTATTAGTTTACTTGTTAGGTCACTTACCTACGGTGGACGTGATCCCTATACTTTAATTATAGCGTTGTGGATATGCGTAAAAAGGCAGTGCAGCGAGCGAGTGGCAACGATGGCAACTCGAGTTTGAGTACAATATAGGTATAGTAGGTACTACAATATACTCATTAGCCTACCTACCTGATATAATTATCATCAAGATAATTGAATATAACAATATTAGTAATAATAATTAATATTATACAATTTAGTTATAATGAGATAGTTATAAAATAGCGATATTGATATAAATATAGAACGAAGACCAATTAAAATGTGCAATTTTGTCTTTTTTTTTTAATATCCTAATTATAATTTATAGCAGTTAACTTATAAAATATTTAATTTTTAAAATAATTATAAGGTACTTAGTACGATAAATACGATAAAATCAATCTGCCCAAAAGTGCAGTAGCGAGTAGGTCATTTTTAAGAAATTCTTATTTCAATATATTTAAACAGTTTACTGTTATAATGTCAAATTTAAATCTTTTAAAATATTTAATTGCGATAAAATTATTGTCCCCGTAAAAAGAATTAAAATATGTTATACACGCTCCGCGCGACAGTAATGTAGTGGTGTTGAGCGCATGCGTATAAACGTAAAATTGCAAACTTTGGAAGGCTATAACTTCCAAAATAATGGTTTCCACACAAAAATTCAAACAGTTTAGAAATCCGAGTTGAAAAACATATCTTTTAAAAAAAAAAGTTTCGAAATTCGTGAGGGGCATGGTAAAGTGCATTTGTTCCACGATTTATTTAGGTATAGTATTTAGATTAGGTACATCTCAAACGCCCATTTTGAAGGATGTTTCCAAGATTTCGGTAAAAAAAAAAGCAATGATGAGTTTCATTTCACATTTTTTCTGCATAGACGCATTTGTGTAAAGTTCTAATTCAGATGAGGCGATCAAAGCAGCCCAATTTCTTGTAAAATTTCTAACGATAAATTTATTACATTTTTAGAATCAAAAGCTTAGATAAGATGAAACTATTTAAAATTGACCAGTTTTTATTGGGTGGTTGTATGGTAATGCCCGTCTGTCCTACCAACAAGTGAACGATCTGTATAGTAAAGCCACACTTAATGGCAATGCGCAAATGTTTTGAGCCGATGTTACTTCTTATATTGAACTGAGTATAATAAAGAAAAACAGAAACCAAAAAATTGTATAGGATTATGGGAAATATGTATAATAAATACTTAATACAAATGTTTATATTTTTTATCATTAAGACAATTTATTGATTTAAATCTGTTTTTACAGGTTAACAAAATGTGGACAACAATGAAAACATATTACATACAAGAAGAAGAAGATATTGGTGAAATATTATTGAAAAAAGTGAATGAATTTAACAACGTTTTTGAGTTGAATAAGAAAAATATTCTGAAATCTAACAAGAAAACTATACCTGGTATGGATTTAATTTTGCTCAATGCGAACCTAACTTCATTAAAAATTAAAAAAAATAACTCTTCAAAATCCCTATTAAGAAAAAACAGTAAAATGTATTATATAAGTTGTATAAACATCAAAAACAAAAAGGGTGAATGTTTCAGTTCGTTAATAGATAATTTATCTGAAAATGATAGAATAGTTATAATTAACGGAGTTGTACTCAAACAGTTTATTATGTGCAATTCTAACAAATTAACTGTTTTAGTTCGATCACAAGACAACTCTTCAGTTATCTTATTTAAAAGTAAAAGTCATGTCATCATCAAATTGTTAGAAAAACCAACTTCAGCATCTAGAAATAATCTTTCCTCATTAACTGGTTCTGGTGTTTATTCGATATATGGATTTGTAAAAAAAATCACAAGATATTATGATGAAGAGTTAATATCAATAAGATTGCAAAGTTATGATAAATCAAGCATAAAAACTCTCAAATATTTTCATTTTAATAGTGGATATCAAAATATTATAAATAATAAAACAGCATCTGGTTTGAAACATGATTTTCTTTCAAACAAAGTTGATATTTTAGTTAAAACCCCAACTAAAGATTTTACGTCGTTGTCACTTAATCAACGAATATGTTTGAGCAATGTAACAGTGGAAAATATAAACGATTCAGACATATTTTTATTGCATATGGACGGAAATGGTCATAATATAATAGCTCTTTCAATGGAATCTATTAAAACTGTAAGACCTTTACAACCTGAAATTCAGCCTAAATTCAAAAAATTATCTGATGATGTCCAATTGGTTTTGAATGATAATTTTCGGGAGTTAACTACAAATATTACTGCATTGGAGAAACCTATTAATGTTCAACAAAGTAAACAAAAAAAAATAAAATGCATGAATTTATCTGATGATGATGATGACATTGTTAATTTATCACCGTGTCGAGACTTTTCAACATCTACACAGATTATTAAAAAGGACAATGATGTTCATAACAATGCACGTAAATTTGGCAAAAATAAAGTTAATGCTATTGATGATAATTCATTACCTATTAAACATTTAAGATCAGATGACAAAGTCCAAAAATATAATGACAACTCATCACTTCCTCCATCAAATAAAGATACCTCTTTGCCTAAAAGTAAAATATGTTCTCAAAGAGATATTTCACCAAGCACATCTTATGATGGATCATGTTCACCTAGTTTCTTTATGAGTCAACCAGAATCATTAATATCGAACCGAGATGACAATGTCCAAAAATATAATAACAAGTCATCACTTACTCCATCAAATAAAGATGCCTCTTTGCATAAACGTAAAATATGTTCTCAAAGAGATATTTCACCAAGCTCATCTTCTAATGGATCATGTTCGCCTAGTTTCTTTATGAGTCAACCAGAATCGTTAATATTGAACCGAGATGACAAGGTCCAAAAACATAATAACAAGTCATCACTTACTCCATCAAATAAAGATGCCTCTTTGCATAAACGTAAAATATGTTTTCAAAGAGATATTTCACCAAGCTCATCTTCTGATAGCTCATGTTCATCTAATTTCATGAACAGTCAACCAGAATCATTAATATTAAACCATAATAGTTTTAAATCTAATATTGTAAGCCAACCTACCCAGTGTATAGGTCCTTGTAGACTTATTCATACTGTACCAAACATATTTGATAGTAGTGAAATTGTAAGTGGATTCTGCACGACATGCAACGCATTTGTTCAAAAACGTTACCTCAAATTGACACCTCAATCTTCAAATATGGTGTACAAGTGTCCTAAATGTTCTACCATTGTACATCTTACATTTTTTTTCATTATGAATTTTATTTACGGAAAAAATGAATCGCAAGCTATAGAAGTATGCTGTTATGATAAAAAGGCTGAAAGTGTTGTCAGGAAAATTTCGAAGATGAAAATAACACTTGATGATTATTTATCAAACCAAAATATTGAACAACTAGTTATAAGTTCCATGAAATCACTTATAAATAATAGAACAAAAGTAAACATAATTGTTTGTCTTTCACCAGAGGATAACAAAAACATACTTCTAGGAATAGATACAAAATATGTTGTTACAACACAATAAACAAATTAATTACTATTGTAAGTTTTAACTTGTTTATTTTATACTATTGTTATTTGTAAGTTATATGATTGTTAACTGTGTTTATTAAATTATGTATTATATTAATTTGTTTTTCCTGTAATTCTTGTAAAGTTGTAAATTCATAAATTATTATATTAAAAGTTCATTATTTGTATTTTGTGTGATTTCAGTCAATAAATTCATAAATTATTTTGGTATGGACTATGGATAGTATAAACCAAAAATAAAATTCCAAATTTTCCATAATATAGTAAAATAAGTTTGTTTTTTTAGTTAAAACAATAATTTCATATAACACTCCCAATTATGTAGAAAATTATATATTTTCAGAAGTACTTATTGTACTGACGAGTTAGTACTTAATAGGTAGCAGGTGTTCTTCATAAAATCGAGTTTTTTTTAAAAATTAAACCCTACATCTGAATATCACTTATATGTTATAAGCTACAGTTTACAGGATCTTAGCAAAAAAAATGAAGACATATGTTTTAAACTTTTTGTTCATGTTTAAAACAGTGTAAAATCCAAGTGAATATTATTTGTTTTAAACAAAAAATAGTGTTTTTAAAAAATTATAAAATACAAGAACTTGTTGGCTATAACCATTCCTAAATGCACCATATCAAGACATAAGCAGTCATATATCTGATAAATACAATAGGTATATTATATTATTTACCTTATAAAAAAGTGACCAAGACACCAAGTAAAAACGGATAAAAAAGTTGCTCTGCTGTACAGTACAGTATAGTAGTGTACAGTATGTTACAAGTGGGTCACTGTATAAAGGATGGTATTAAATTTGAATTCAATGATATAATATCATTGTATAAGAAAAACGATTCTGAGCGGAGATGGTATTTCAGTCTAGTTATAAGACATATTATATACCTATCTATTGTATTAAAAAAAATTGACCTATAATAAATTCCAAATTAATCATATCGCAATATCCATTAGATACTTATAACAAGTTATACATCAACAAGAAACCCTGATACTATCATAGATATATAATAGTGTACTTTAGACGTTTCAAGTTCCCACGAATAATATTATACAACAACAAAATAACTAAAATATAGTGTTTCTAGGTTTTTAATATGTAATTTCGTCCAAATTTGAACTTAAAATGGCTAAAAAAATAAACTGTGCTTCCCTATTTTTTAGATTTTTTGGTAACAGAATAAACTACTTACGTGGAATCTTGTTTTAAATTTTCAATCGTTAGATATTAAAATTGAACATTTAATACATTTTTAACCACAAAATAATTATTCAATTTTGAATTTGATACATTTTGTCAAAATTCGAGCTTTAAATGTTTATAAAAAACAATTGTGCCGATGTATTTTTAATAATATTTTTCAACTGATATTGTAACAATATATCAGAAGTCTTGGTTTAAATGTTTACACTTTATGGCCCAACAGATAGAACTTAATTTATATTCATAGAAAAAAAAACTAAAAAAAATTGAAAGCTCTAAATGTCCGTAAACAGAATTAATTATCTGATTTAAATATCAATGAACTTTATAAAATAACAACAATTAGAAAAGTAGATACAAAATATGGTGAAAGAGTTTCTGTTGTATTAAACAATAAGTATATGCTATTATTGCCCCAAAGGTTTGTTAATATTATTTCTGAGTTAGATATAGACAGATATGATGGCGAAATGTATATGAAATATAAGGGTAAAAAAACTCTTGATAATAGGAAAACAATCCATTTGATAGAATTTGAATAACTTAACATTTTTTTTGTTATTAAATGAAATTAATCAAAATCATAAATGGCTCTATACATTTAGAACATTATATACATAATAATGAAGAAAATATGTCTATTGGATTATATGTTTTGTCATTTACTAATTTTCGTGATTTAATCAAAATAGAAAATGATTGTCAGATAACAATTGACACTAACGTAATTGATATTAAAAGTGGGCTTTATAGTGTTGAAAAATTAAATAAATTAATAAGTCCATTAACCATTTCTTTTGTTTATAAAAAAATTAAAATAGAATCTCCATGTTACTATAGTTTGGATGAAAAATTAAAAAAGGTGGGCAAGTGGGTGTCGCTCTGCTGTACAGTAGGTTACAAGTGGGTCATTGTATAATGGATGGTATTAAATTTGAATTCAATGATATAATATCATTGTATAAGAAAAACGATTCTGAGCGGAGACGGTATGTCCTTCTAGGTAAAAGACATATTATATACATATCTATGGTATTAAAAAAAATTGACCTATAATGAATTCCAAATTAATCATATTATCACAATATCCATTAGGTACTTATAACGCGTTATACACCAACAACAAACCCTGATACTATCATAGATTTATATAGTAGATTACTTTAGAAATTTCAAGTACCCACGGGCCACGAATAATATTATACAATCACAACAAAATAACTAAAATCGTAATTCTTGGTTTAAATATGAAATTTTGTCTAAACTTGAAATTAAAATGTCTGTAAAAAATAAGTGTGTTTATATATTTTTTAGATTTTTTGGTTACAGTATGAATTATTTAAGAGAATCTTTGTTTTAAATTTTCAACTCTTAGTTATAAAAACTGAACATTTTATAATTTTTTAATTCCAACGATTGATTATTTTCGAGATTTTGATAAATTTTGTCAAAATTCCAACTTTAAATGGTTATAAAATAAAATCGTGCCTATGTATTTTTAAAATTTTTCAACTGATATTGTAACAATATATAAGAAAGCTTGTATTCAATTTTCAGACTTTTTGGCCCACCAAATAAAATTTTATTGACAATTATAAAAAAAAAAACTAAAAAAATTGAAAACTGAAAATGTCCGTAAACAGCTCAAAAAGAGTCAAAATATTTTCAAAATTGTATGGTGTATAGGAAATGCTAATATAAACATTCAGTGAAATTTTCATGTATCTATAGTTATTCGTTTATGAATAACAACAAAATAAGGAAATCGCTACATGAGAAATCGAGTGAATATCCAATGTTGTAAAAATTTGAATTTCAAACGCTCATAAAAATTTAATTTAACTGTCCGGTAGAGATTTTTTTATTGATACAGGTAGAAAAACTTATGAGTAATCTTGTATTACATTTTCAAATCTTAGATTTAAAAAGAAAAATTTTTACGAATTCTTAACTCAAAATAATTTGCTAATTTTCGTGATTTTTCCATATTTTGTCAATATTTGAACTTTAAATGCTTATAAAAAAAAACTGTGACTAACTATTTTTAATATTTTTCATCTGCCTTTGAAACAATATACTAGGAGCCTTCTATTAAATTTTCAACTTTTCGCCACCAACAAATAAAATTTTATTGATATTTCTAGAAAAAAAACTAAAAAAAAATGAAAAATGAAAATGTCCCTAAACAGTTCAAAATAAATCAAAATATTTTGAAAATGTTACCGTGTATAGAAAATGCAAATATAAACAATCAGTAAACATTTCATGTATCTACGGCCATTTGTTTTAAAGTTACACCAAAAACCAAATTCGTTTTTCGTTTTCCCTTAATTTTCCTTTTGTTTTTCCCGGCACTAGTGAAATCTATTCGGAATTTTAAAATTTGACCTCCCCAATGCACCAACGATATTCACTTTCCATTTTAACAAGATACTGAAGTTGAAAATCGAAGCATTATTACGACTACTCATCGTGTACACGACAGACACAAAAATAAAAATGAAAAAAGGTGGGCAAGTGGGTGTCGCTCTGCTGTACAGTAGGTTACAAGTGGGTCACTGTATAATGGATGATATTAAATTTGAATTCAACGATATAATATCATTGTATAAGAAAAACGATTCTGAGCGGAGACGGTATGTCAGTATTGTGTGTATCTAATCACGTTCAAAGGACTAAACGAAAAGCGAGCGGCTGGTTTTATTTTTACCGAAATCGCGGTCCCTTACGTAATGTGGGTACATATTATATAGTTTTCTTCTGTAGAAAACCGTTCCGATCGCGACTTCGGGTGTGGACTATATTCGTTCGGCAGTCCTAAACTAAATGGTCTTCCATTGCAACGGGTCACCGTAAAAATGCAATTCGAACAAACGTTCGCCACAACTTTATGTTTGGAGAATATTATAGGTAGGTATTATTAGTTTCAAATAAACTGCAAATGGCAGAAAACTGCAAATGCGGGTAATTTCCAGGAACGCTTCGTTACTCAAATGCCTGCAGGTTAACTTGTAAATTGAAATAGTTTTGTAGTCTCCTTTATTTTGGAGGGAGGATTTGTGTAATTTTCGGGGGGGGGGGGGCATAGCCACTTCACTACTCCAGCCTTCTTAGTTGAGCTTATGTCCATAATATATATATCCATTGTTCGTTATATATCCATTGTTAATTATAACTATTATAAGGTAGGTATAACATTAATATCGTATAAATACACAGCTAATATAATATGCATCTGGCTATAATTGAATTAATAACTACTAAATACGAAATAATATTATATTAAACAATGGCATAGTATTATAAATAATATTATCTTGGACCGTAGTAACGAGATTTATTTATTTAAACAATAGTTTTCAAAATCACTTATTTACACGACCAAAGAAAGACCGGACAAACTATTAAGGAGAAACGCTGGTTATAATGTCCATTCCGCGGAACTATATGGAGAGGCGCCCAACTGAAGTGGCGCCTGTAACGAGACATACTGCAGAACTGAGGACGACGAGAGGATGACCATCGGCGAGCTGTCGGACCGGGATGCCGGAGGACGTGGTCGGCCTTTGCGGTGACCAGGTCACGTTCTCGTTGGGTCTGGACGACGGCTATTGGGGCGGTGCACTACAACATAATATGCGGCCGAAAGCGAATCAGACGGCGGAGCAAGAGGATGGCTCGATGGCGGAGAAAAATATAAGATATAGCATGCAGCGGCGACACACGCAGCAGCCGCAAACGCGGAAAAAGGATAGGGAGGAGCAGGACA